ATTAAAGGGTTATTATGAACTAGCGATTGTCTGCAGATTTGTCTACGTGGACGTTCGTAGGAGGGCATATTTTTATAAGCTCATAGAATGATTTGTCAGCGTATTCGTCTATGTTTGTCGTAGAAGGGCTTATTTTTAGAAGTCCTTGAATATGATCAATAGGCGTGCCAATTCTACAGTAGGCAGGTGTGTTATCGTCTTAATTGTGCCTTCTCTAATCTAACTGTTATGTAGTGTGCTATCTAATCTATGTTTTCAAAAGTTTCAGTTGTGTCGAACAGGTATTTTGAAATGAAAAAAATCTCATTTTGGCAAAAGCAAAAATCAAAATCAAAAAAATCAAAATCAAAAAAATCAAAAATAAGTATTCAGTTTAGACCATAAGTGGCACATGAACGTCAAAATATAGTAAATAATAAAAAAAGAAAAGGTAGCCCTTATACATTATATTACAACACATAATGTATGCTTTGTGAATGTGGTTTAGTTTTGTCATTACTTATGTTAGATAGATAAGTAGCGTAACTATTAGTTTCCTAGCCTAAAAATTAAATTAGGTACAACAAAATTTCTATGGCAGCATGAAATATGACATTCTCTGGGTATAAAATATGACATTATCATCACATTAACCTTTAAGTACCCCCGATGAGATTTCCATGGCACCAAAGTATAATGGCATATTTATCCAAAACTAGCGGCCACCAGCGACTTCGTACACGGGATCCCGTTTTACCCCTCTTGGGGGTTGTATTTTGCAAAATCCCGTCTTAATGAGCAGCTACGTTTTAAAAGGAACCCCCCATGCAAAATTTGAGACTTCTAGCACTTGTAGTTTCTGAGATTTCGTGAAAGTAAGTGAGTAAGTCAGTCAGTCAGTGACTTCGCTTACATAGATTCACACTTTAATAGAACCATGGCATCGAACGTTTCAAAACCCAACATTCAATTCCAAATATGACATTTTCCACAGTAAAACCCGCGCTGTTTACAGGCCAGCGATTGAAGCGGCAATATCCGCTGCAATCTCGCCGCGTGTATCTGGGCCGACCTGCAACTGCTGGTAACTAAATGCAGATTACAGCTGCAACCGTGGTACAAGTTCTGTAGTAGTTTGCGGTCTGCGATACTAGTGATACTGTGTACTGTGCTAGCAGTTTAAGGTTTAGCTGAAGGTGAAACGGAGATCAACTATTATAAAAATATTCAATCTATACTTATAATAAATCTGTAGAGAGGTCAATTCTGTACATGAAATATATTTTCAAAATAACTATCAGGGGGTGATTAGTGATCGATACTGATGCCAAAAATGCAATCAGTAAAATTTTTGTCTGTCTGTCTGTCTGTCTGTATGTTCCTTATAGAAACAAAAACTACTCGACGGATTTTAACGAAACTTGGTACAATTATTTTTCATACTCCTGGGCAGGTTATAGGATACTTAGGAATTCCCACGGGAACGGGAATTAGCGGGAAAATTCTTTTGTATGAAAAATCTAAACTGCTTAAGTTAGACGCTTGAAATTTGGCATGCAGGTACCTTAGTAAACTTAAAGCTTAGTTACAACAGGATATAGCAAAATTCCCACGGGAACGGGAGTTAGCGGGAAAAAACATTTGTGTCAAAAAATCTAAACCGCGTAAGATAGACGCTTAAAATTTGGCATGCAGGTACCTTAGTAAACTTAAAGCTTAGTTACAACAGGATATTGCAAAATTCCCACGGGAACGGGAGTTAGCGGGCAAAAAAAATTGTATGAAAAAATCTGAACCGCGTAAGATAGATGAAGGGGGGGTAAAACGAGATCCACGCGTACGAAGTCGCGGGCGGCCGCTAGTAGAAGAATAAAAGCGCCTAAAGTCTGTTTTGTATTTAATTTGTCAGTTAATGTGTGGTGTGCAATAAAGAATATTTTCCTATCTTTTTTGGTTTTAAATTTTACAGTTACTTAAAGATAAAATCGCAGCAATAATTCATGGCTTAGAGCTTTTTTATTATGAACAATACAAGTAGGTATACCTATATAAGAGTCACCTACATAATTACAAATCTAATAGATATAAATGTGCACTCTCATCAAACTGAATTTTTCCGTCAGAGAGATTCAAACCTGCAACGCAGCTATCGTGGCAATCTGATACAAGAGCAAACATGAAAAACCATTTTCAACTCATAATTGCTAAACCAGCGTCAAGTAGCTAATACAAATACATTGACTCTAAAACTGCATTACAAAAGAGATCTCAATTCCCACTACTCGATTAAGTAGTAATTGTTTAATCGAGAGCCACTTGCCAACATCGAGTTCTCGGGAGCAATAAAGGGAACACTGCCATTTTATGACGCCTTTCGATTTAGTTGGTTAACCGTCGCTTGCCGGTGAATTATTGGCTTGACCGCTTCACTTTTCTTATGTAATCTTTGGTAGAAGAAATATAGAGTCAACTGCAATAATTATAACAATGAAAAGGCTGGGTTGCACCATCTTATTTTGACTTTAACAAACGTCAAAAATCTTTCAAACAACTAACGTCGAAAGTAAGTTGGTGCAACTCAGCAAAATTTTAATGTCCTTTAACTTTTAGCTTCAACATTTGTTTTTCAGCTATAAAGTTTTTAAAAATCGAGTTTCAGAGATCACTTTTGTTATCATTTTTGGAGATGATGATGGACTACAAATAAAATTCATCTATGTAATAAATAGGTAGTAAGTGGTAAGTTAAATTAAGGCAAAATGTTACAAAAATCAATAGAATAACATAATTTCTTTCGGAATTATTATGCAAATAATATTTTTCCACTCTTACCATTATAAGGAAAATCATTAGTTCGGACATCAATGAATAAGTAAATTATAATAGCCTTCAGCTGAACACTGCCTCATAAAAATAAGCGCCATTATGAATGAATTATCAAAGCCTGAAGAAGTAGGTGTTACATGTTCTGTATTAAAAAGGTATACCTATTATTTGCTAAAATAAAATCCACCTTAAATATGTTTTTTTTAATGTAAAATAACGTTGGAAAATGAAAGCGCAATATCGAAGTTATTTCCACGACAGCTGTGCATGGAGTTGATAAATTACCTACATTTTTACCAGCGTTTCCAGGAATATCAAACTACCCGTTCTTTTTACAAGCTTTTTTCTGTTTGCTGTTGAAACGCTAAAGGCTATTTCTTTTATGCTTGTGGTGTATTTTCAGCATAATTTGTACACTATTGCGAGGGGTTATTGCATAAAATAATTATAGGAAAAACTGTTTAGATAGATGTTAAAGTATCTTGTATGCTTTAATGTTTTATGTTGCTTTATTAATTATTCTCATATACTTAAAAAAAAGGTAAAAGAAACTCATTAAGTAATGGTCTTGAAAAACATCTTTAAGCATTTAACTAAGCTTTTATCCACGACTTTGTCTACTTGGATTTGTTATATTGTTATAAAATAAATTATGGGCTACTAGTATGTGCTATTCTGATTATTATATGGACAATCATACTGTAGTTTAATCAAAATCTTTGTGTTAAAGAATAATTAACATCCATCCATCCATTCCCACAAACTTTCACGTTTGTAATATTTGTGGAACAGTCAAATAAATATACTCGATTATTTCTTATGCTACAATACACACTGTCTACTCACGGACATTGCCCGCGGGCGGCGTGACCGGAGGGAGCGGCGAGCGTTCGGCGAACGAACGAGCAATGTTCGGTTCGCGAGCGAACATCGGAGACGACGATCCTGACGCACTCTCTTCAACGAATTTGCACTAAACGGTCTCGATAATATTATAAATTTATACCGAATAGATAATTAATTTTATACAGTCCACTCTTTTCATTTATAAACTTCCACTATACTCACTATTGAAGTAACACACAATGTAGTATTCACCAATTTCTATGGTTTTAATACACCCTGTATGCCTACAAGTCACCATACCACGTAATCCGCGAGTAACTAGATTGATCCCACCTCATTAACTCGTGCATCAAACTGGTTAAACTGGTGTTAGCTCATTACCGGTAATGATAACCGAATTTCCACTGCCGGGGATTAATAATAACGCTTAAGCTATCATAACGGCTCATATTCTACTAATAATATTATGAATGCGAAAGTTTGGATGTCTGGATGTTTGTTACTCTTTCACGCAAAAAGTACTAAACGGATTTTGACGAAACTTTACAGTATTAATGTTTATAATCCAGAATAACGTATAGGCTATAATTTATGACGATCTGTGAAACTAAATTTCACGCGGGTGAAGCCGCGGGCAAAAGCTAGTACTAAATAAATAGGGATGCGTGTGTACTAAAATACTGCCAATTGAGTGACTCTGACACCTATCTTCATCACTATGACAAAGTTTTAGCCCTAAGCTTTTTTGAAGAAGAATGCCTTAAGGAATTAAGCTCACCAATTGTCATCATCATCATCATTTCAGCCATAGGACGTCCACTGTTGAACGTAGGCCTCCCCCAATGATTTCCACAATGGCCGGTTGGTGGCGGCCTGCATCCAGCGCCTTCCCGCTACCTTTATGAGGTTGTCGGTTCAATTGTACCAGTTGATTTATGTGGCATCAAAGAATAAATAAATAAATAATGTAAGAATATTTTTTACAATTAAGAACTCTTAACCCCGCATGATTCATAATTTTAATAAAAACGAATATTACAAGAACTTATTCTTACCTATTATAACATTATAATCCTTCACTATTACAATAATTAATGTAAGTATTTTAAATTCTGCTATTTAGGAAGAATCAATTTGTATGTACACTACACAGTTATACATATTCGTGGGTTTATTCAACACGAATATGCATAACACACAGACGAAAGCACATCAATCTAAACACCGTTGCATCTTGTATACTTTTAATATATGCGAGTTCGCAACAGAAATGTGTGATGACTGTACAATTCATAGGGCGCCCATCAACCTAGGGCGGGCGGATCCTGCTTCGGCACCGCAGTCTATCGCGCGCACTCACACCGCGCGCACGTAACTCGCACCGCGACCATGTCTCTGTAAACGATTCCGAACCGAGGTAACAAACCTTCCGAAGTGTTACTTACAAAAAAAAGTTGAAAAAATTCGCGTGGAAAGTGCTCTGGAATTCGACCTAATCGAAAAGTTTCGGTCGCAGATTGTACATTAAAAGTTTGCAGCCCGTTGAGTATACTTTGTTACTAAGTAAAAATTCGTTGGAAGTTTCACTTAGATATTAGTTTGGGTTGGACTTTTGCTGTGTTTTTGAAATTGAGTGATGGAATATTTGGCTGTATGTGTATTACCATTACAAATATTATGTCATACATTATTATAATAACAATTAACAGCTAATTCAATCAATATTCTAATTACTGCAATTCCATATTTGATATTAAGTGAGGAAAAATAACCTTATAATACACCAATTAGCAAAATACTACCTCGTTCTCATAAAGGCAACGTCAGCCATTTCATAACCGTTCTAAAGTCGCAAGTCTCAACATTTGACGGGGAATTTAATCAACCGGTTGAATGTTACCCGGTCCTCTCAATAATTCGATAAAAGTAGAGGTTCCAATATTGAAAACGTGCCGAAACTGTTTCATACAGTATTATCTCCAAACTAGCTCATAGACAGTTTTTAAAACACGCAATCTCGTTTAAGTAAAAAGAATTGGTTCTAAAGTGAATTTATCAGCAAGATGTATAAGTTTTATAAGCAAGATGTATAAGTTTTATAAGCAAGATGTATAAGTTTTATAAGCAAGATGTATAAGTTTTACCCTTAGACCTTTTTACATTGAACCCCTTTAGTGTGAAACTCTACCATATAAAAGCCTCTTATTCGCAGACTTTGATATATGAAAATCCTACGACATTATTTTAAGGGCCAGAAAAAAGGAAAACATTGAAAAACTCGTGAGAGCTTGTTATCTCGATATTATTTGTTTTCGTATAAGTATTTATACCGAACGCAACAGTTATGCCGAAATTAAAATTCCTGGAGCTTCGTTTAATGTTGCCATGATTAGGTATATGTTATAAAATACTTGACCTTAATGGAGATGTTATTTTTTTATGAAGTAATCAATTTTTAGGGTTTCTGGATGGTCACATAGCCACTTTTTAGGGTTCCGTAGTCCTGACAAGGAACCCTTATAGTTTCGATATGTCTGTCTGTCTGTCCGAGGTTTTGCTTGGAAACTATTGGCACTACAGAGCTGTAATTTTGTGGAGATATGTATATTAATTACGCTGACAAAACGGTAAATTAAAATTTGGAAAAAAAAATGTTTAGGGTAACTCCCCTACATGTAAAGTAGGGATATTTTTTTTATCTTCTACCCCATCGTGTGGGGTATCGTTGGATAGGTCTTTTAAAATGGCTTAGGGGTTGGAAACGGAAATGTCATTTGAATCTAGTGTTCATCCCGGGTATAACTTTTTATTTTATTAATAAGGTTGCTATAATTTTACCATCGTAAATGGCTAGGATTCTATTTATTTTGTTTACCGCCCAAACGAAACTTTTTCAATCTAACAAACTATAGTTATTATAACTGAATATTTTGTTTACTATGTACAAGTATTTAGTACTCCATAAAATATATTTGTAACCAGAAGTTATGAAAATTATTTCGTTGTTATTATTAACAATCATATTGTAGCTTTTAGGTACCTTAAAAACTATAGTTATTTAAATGTTACCTATAGGTATTTAAAAGAAATGCAGTTTTTTACGAATATTAACTTATGCAACCGGACTAATGTTCATGCTGTTTTTATCGTCTATGCAAACTTACTTTTGTTTGATATTTTATGATTTCATAATGTATATTCGGATCTCTTCAATCTTGGCTTTATCTGATACTAACTGCTCTGGGCTCGATTCCAAGTTGTTCTTTGAACGTTTGATGGCAGATGCCTATGGCAGCCATAAAGTCTGACACCGCCAGGCTTGTTGCCGCACCATAAATGAAGTCTAAGGCTGAGTTGCACCACCTAACTTTAACAGTAACTATAGCGATAACCGGTGCTTTTTGTATGGAGTTTGACAGATTTTTGACGTTTGTCAAAGATAAAGTAAGATGGTGCAACCCAGCCTTAAATTCCAAGTAGCTGACGTCAGTTAACTGTCAAAAACTGCCTTTAGATTATTTACATGTCATAATGGCAGTTTAGTTCCTACTTTATATTTAGAGTAGGCACACACCGTTGATTTTTAGTTGGCCGATAGTTGTGCCCGATTTTAAATTGTATGAAGAATCGGCCAAATCGAATCGGCGTAGTGTGCGCACTCCCATACATGCCCATACTGATCAACTGCCCGACTAAACTATCGGCCGACGAAAAATCAACGGTGTGCGCCTACTCTTATAATGACACCTCTATTAAAATAAAACTTAATTAATTAAACACGTTAAAGAGTTACCTTTAAAGACCTTTACATGTTTTTCAGCTGAAAATGTGCTGAATGTCCTGAAAACGTGTTCCCCGTGTAGACTCATTAAGCCTTTGCTAATGAGTCACATTCACTAATAAGTTAGTTTACAGATCAACTGATGCTCTTACTTTCTATCATAAATTAGGATCTCAAATTAATGTCCAAATTATTTTATACTAGCTTTCCACCCACGGCTTCACCCGCGTGAAAAAGGGGCAGTTTTAAGGGATTTCCCGGAAATTATTCGCCGTAAAAACGATTCTTGGACTTCAACGAAAAAAAAAAGAGTTGGTAAAATTGGTCCAGGCGTTGTTGCGTTATCCGCTTACCAACATATTTTGCGATTATTTTTTATATTATAGACACTTTTTTATGTAGAACAAGGCTAGGTATCCGGTATTTGACCGCAATCACACCTGATATAAGTGAGATGCAGTCTAGGATGGTAGGTACATACCTGCCCTGTCAGCGCCTATAGGTAGCTGACCTATCAGTAAATTCTCATTAACAATACTATTTTAACTTTCACATCACTTTTTCACATATTCAATAAACTTATCAACTATTTATTGTTTTCAAATTCACTAAATCATATTTTACGGTCAATTGAAAACTGATTGGATTTTCCGGGGTATTAGGTTCTTTTAGAAAAGTTTCTCCGACGTAACCGACTTCAAAAAGGAGGAGGTTCTCAATTCGGTTGGTATGTTTTTTTTTGGCAGTAAATAATTGGTTTGTAGTGTTAACTACCCAATTTTATATGAGTACTATAGCTTCTGCCCATGGCTTTGCCCGTGTGAATTTCGAATAGGTCTCAACCAACACGTTGCCCTGCCACGTTAAGGTGGCAGTAGGGACAAATTGTTTTAACTACCAACTCAACGTGATAAACGAAACTTTATTTGTCCCATACACCATGTTCGGAAACGTGGTCGGCCCTAACGTGGTGGTTGACACAATTTTGCCCTAACTGCCACTTTAACGTGGCAAGGCAACGCGTGGTGATTGAGACCTATTCTGTGTTTCGGTTTGACGCCATAGTTACATATAATTTATTATAATCATTTAAAAGAAATGGGATTAAAGAATAACTTTCTTTAACTAAGAATTTAAATAGTCAACCTAAAATTAAGTTTCTTTAATATTAGTGGGACATTTTCACTTTTTTAATTGGACCGAGAAACAGAGGAGGTCCCTAAAAGCGAAATCTTGGCAAAATGGGTGGCATATTCACTTTGTTTATAAACTCCGTATTCTCTAGTTAGACAGAAATTGTCAAAGGTCTTTTGACATTAATAATAATGGTAGTTATTATCTTCAATTCACCTAGCATAATATAAGAACCTACATGTACTTACAACGCACCTCGCAATATCAATAGAGTTTGATGCTTATTCTAAACACGTAAAGTTGAAAATCCCTTGGGATGACTTTTGTAGTAAGTTGATGTGCTGTCGCCTGTTAAGTTTAGTTTTGAAAACGACAAAGTCTCGGAATCGGTACCATTAGCAATACTTTTTAAATTCTCAAGGCTCCGTTCCGACGGGTCACAAATTGTATCAAGAGTCATTTTCCGCGAAGTTCCTTTTAATTTTCTGAAGGGACTTCAAAAAAGGGCTTTTCCTTTCAGGCATTGGAATAAAAATGAATGCGGCATCGTTTTTCTTTATTTAGGTGGTCACTGATAGAGACTAGAGTCAAAAGATTACGCTACAATCTCGTAATAGATACCTAATTACCCGACTGCGCCAGAAGGAGGGTTATGTTTTTCGAGTGTATGTATGTATGTGGGTATGTATGTATGTATGTATATTTCTTTGGCACGGTCTACAGCCTAAACGGCTTGCCCGATTTTAGCGTGAGTGGCTAAAAATAAAGTAGGAAAAAAAATGTAAAATTGCGGATTTTACATAATGTCTTAAAAAACTTTTTCCCCAAAACTTATCGAGTGGGGTATCAAAATAAAGGGCTTTTTAAGTAGTTTACAAAAATGCACGTTATTTAGCTAAAAAGATTAAAATAACATTATTATTGAATAAACAAACCCAACCCAACTGCATAAAAATGAACTTAAAAGATAAAAACAAGAGAACTTAGTGTTCACAAATGCAGTCGGAGGCATCACCAACAAAAGAATTAGTCATTGATGCCTCCGACTGCATTTGTAAACACTAAGTTGTCTTGTTTTTATCTTTTTAGTTCATTTTTTTACTACCTATTTTCGTTTTCACAATCACTAAATAAATATGTAACTCTCAAAATGGACTGCTCGTATCGTATATTTAGACCTACCTATTCATCAAAGAATCCATATTGTTTGGCTGTCCAAATGAACTATCGTAAAAGAACATCTTTATGGCTTCATTCATAACATTGATGTAGAATACAATACAGTACAAATAGTACTGTTATTCTTTCACACTTTACCTAGCATCCTTCCTACTAATATCCTACTAATATTATAAATTTAAAAGTTTGGATGTCACGATGTCTGGATGTTTGTTACTCTTTCACGCAAAAACTACTGAACGGATTTTGATGAAACTTTACAGTATTATTATTTATAACCCAGATTAACATATAGACTATAATTTATGACGATCTGTGACAAA